ATCCCCACGCCACATCCCACAACCAGAAAAATCTACGAGTTCTTCGAAATCCACGTACAACTGAGCGTTTTTAGATGGATCCACCACCTTCTGGGGATTTTGTCTGTTCTTGGCACGACCATAACGCTAGTTCTGACTGTAACGACCCTGGTGTGGAACATAGAGACTCCAAGATTCGCGACCGATCTTTGCAATTGCACGCTTACTGGCACCTGAAATTGTTTAAATGTAACGTATATGTATCTGTAAAGTCGGTATAACCGCCTCTCGGCGTAACACACCAGCTTCTGTATCTGTATAGCCAGTATACGATACGATACGATACGATACGATATGACTTTATTAGCAAATAGCAGACAACATGAATTGGTGTCTGAAATACCTTGCTAATTAACATTAAAATGTGGAAAATTACATTGCTACACCTATCCATAAAATTAATTAATTCACGAAACGTATATTACATTCAATAAAATATTAAAATTCAGTGGTACTAATTAAAATCTTAAATAGAAGATATAAGAATAGCGTTACAGTACTACAGGTAAAATTACAAGAATACAAGTCGAGTACACAAGTTTGTAGTGCACAGATTCTGGTTCACAATAGCGCATATGCCATTTGGTACAAGTGTTTAAGCAGTCTCTGATAATCGTTACTACAGAGTCTGGTTGTACAGGGATGTTGCTTGATGTAGAAACGATCTTTTGAGACGTTCGGTTCTACATGAAGGCAGTGTGAGTTGGTGGTGGTTCCTGAGAGTTCTTCCAGTCCGCTGTTGTCTGTCCTCTGTGACCATATGATGCAGCGGATGGTCACTGGAGCGCATCTGGTTGAGGAATGCGACTGCTGCGTCTTCACGCCTGGACTGGAGAGTGGGCAGGGGGGTTGCAGCCGGGGAACTTCTGTTCCTGTTTATTATCCTCACGGCTCTTCTCTGCAGAGCTTCAAGTGTTTTTGCCTGTGAGTTGGTGCATCCGACATAGACCACGTTTGCATATTCCAGAACGGGTCTAATGAGGGTTGTGTACACTGCCGTTAGATGGAGTACCGCAAGGTTCCGTCCTTGGACCAACGCTTTTCATTCTTTACATCAATGACCTTGCCACCAGCCGTACACATTGTCTGGCCAACTTATTTGCCGACGACACATCTCTGTCCTTCTCCCATCATTCTGTTCAACGCGTAGTTGCAACACTGAACCGAGAGTTGAGTACTGTGTCGACTTGGCTTTCTACATGGAAACTAGAAGCTAACATAGACAAGTGCAAAGTCATGTTCATTACAACTCGTACTCTACCACAACTGATTCCCCCTGTGACCCTAGGAGGAACTGTACTGCAAGTTGTCACCAGCCACAAACACTTAGGCGTCACTCTCACGAATACCCTGTCCTGGTCACAGCACATCGAGGTCATCTCTAACAAAGCAAGACGTTCTTCAGGACTGTTATGTGCCCTAAGAAGGAAAACTCCCCAAAACTTACTGCTCCGGCTGTACATCACCATTACAAGACCTACGTTAGAGTACGCGGATATTGTCTGGGCTGGCCTCACTTTACGTGACCAAAGGACCTTAGAATCTGTTCAGTACCAAACAGCCAGGCTTATCAGTGGTCACTTTGGGATCCCATACCCTTCCTACAATAGTCTCTACACAGAACTGTCTCTACCATCTCTCCAGTTTCGACGCAAGTTTCACACTGCAGTAACCATGTACAAACTGTTGAACGGTCGCTGTCCTACACACCTGCAAAGTCTACTACCTCGAGCGCGAGCGTCCGCCACAGAATCCCGGTATCCCTTACGAAATAGTGAACACTTATCCATACCCGTTTGTAGAACCACCAGATCCCAGAGAACATTTGTAATCAGAGCTATAACTATCTGGAATACTCTCCCTAGCGAAACTCGAACAACCCGCTCCATCAGCTCCTTTAAAAAGAAACTATGGACAATACTTGATAAATACTTGACGACAACTACTTAGTAAATAGTTCAATAGAATAATATTGTATTGACAATGTAAATATAGTGCACAACATCTGTTATGTAATAGTATATTAACCTGACATATAAATGTAATTGTATTAAACGCACGACAACCAGGCCGGATATTCTAGCTTGTTAACGCTTGGCCACAACATCTGTTATGTGGTAGTACCGGTAGTTTGTCTATCTGAATTGTAATTGACACTGTTAACTGTTAACTGTTCCGAATTGTCTATGTTATTGTTGTGAGGGCTAGCCCTTTATAATAGCCTCCGGCTAGTTGGGCAGTCCTGGCTGCATACATATGTGTTATCAGCCTAATAAATCAAATCAAATCAAATCAAATCGTCTGCAGGTATGCCGCCTTTGGCAAGGAGCCGAAGGTAATGGAGGCGCTGTGACCCCTTCTTGGCCACGTGAGTTATGTGACTGTCCCATTTGAGGTTATCACTGATCTTGAAACCCAGGTAAGTGGCACATGTAACAACCTTAACCTCTTTTCCTCCGAGAATGAGGGGAGGGAGGACTGGAGGAACTCTAGAGAAGCATATCCTAAGTTCATATGACTTATCACCATTCATGGTCATGTTGTTTTGGGCTGCCCACACATCCAGGTTTGTTGCTTCTTCCTGCATAGAGTTGCAGTAACCACCCTTCGGCGTAACACACCAGCTTCTGTATCTGTATAGCCGGTATAACCGCCCTTTGGCGTAACACACCAGCTTCTGTATCTGTATAGCCGGTATAACAGCCCTTCGACGTAACACACCAGCTTCTGTGTCTGTATAGCCGGTATAACCGCCCTTCGGCATAACACACCAGCTTCTGTATCTGTATAGCCGGTATAACCGCCCTTCGGCGTAACACACCAGCTTCTGTATCTGTATAGCCGGTATAACCGCCCTTCGGCGTAACACACCAGCTTCTGTACCTGTATAGGCACGCGGCGCGGCGGCAGCTAGCTATATCACACCGAACGACTTGTTACACTCAATCTTTGCACCTTTAATTACAGGAGTTTTTTTTAAAGCTTTTTAGTGATGATTCCCCAGCTGTGTATGTAAAATACACATTGCTCTTACTGACGGCTATTCCAAGATCAGGGTGTTGCACTTGGGCCAATTTTTCAAGTTCCACATTTTTCCACGTTCAATTGCTATGTACATAGACCTCCACAATCAAATGTATTGCTTATCAACTTACAAGTGAACACCCGGTGACTATTGTTACAGTAACAAACACCGGGTCTTTCCCTGGCAATGTACTTTTGAAATTGTAAGAAACAGTAAACACTGCAACTTGATTAGTTGTACGGCTTTGCTTCATTGCAATATGCAGACAGAATCAATTCATTTCTATGTAGATGAAGCAGCCCACGAGTCATCTTCTGAAACCAGACAATTCATGTCAGCGCTAAGATTAAAAGTACGTACATGCGTTTTGTCCAAACTGGGGTTGTAGCTGACATGTTGGTTTTACTTGAAGATGTTTTGCCAATTCACCACATACTGATATGCTACATGTTTCTTTGCTAAATTGATATCATAGATGTTCAGTTATTTCTTACTGGTGGAAATATAGGGTTGTCTAAACAGTTTCTTATTGAACATTGCCTTGTTGAGTATAGTATTAAGGCAACAGTCGTGTTTTAAGTACAGGGTTGGTCATTTGTTCCTGGTACCATAAAAGATATTAAGTTACTTATTCTGTACAATATGTGCAGTTCTTATGTTTGGTTCAAGAAACGTAAAACAAAATCTTCATGGTACATACTCAACTATGTTCTACTACAGATACGTTAAAAAAGAAAATCCTACAAAATTAGGTACAATATTCTGTACAATATGTGCAGTTGTTAGGTTCCCTTCAAGAAAAGTAAAACAAAATTTACATCGTACATACTTAACAATGTTCTACTGCAGATAATTAAAAAAGAAAATCCTCAAAATTAGGATGATCACTATCTCTAAGTGCTCTGTGGCGTTAGAGCGTCACATGTGCATAATAAATTACTGTTATGATGTGAAGAACAAGGATTAAGACATTCTGTACTTACAGAGACGCTTCTATAGACGGTTTGCAGGATAAAACTGACCTCAGCGTCACAATTATATTCTTTCTCAATGCCGGCAGTTGATATGTGTGTGGGCGACCATACATTGAATAAACATATCAAGGTTCATAACATTCTACTCTATAGGAAAATGGGCATATTTTATTGGTCAAAATTGTGACGGCAATCTGTTATAGGAATTGAATGAAAAGGGATCATTTTAAGAATTGATTTATTTTTAAAGAATTCGAGAAATCTGGCCATAGATTTAGACTTCCTCGTAGAAAAAGGGGAGGTGGACTTGCCCAAGTTATTCGTATGTAGACGTGGGCGTAGACTTGGGAATGGGTAGACTGCACATGTATGATGTACATGATTGTCATTAAACAGCTGGTAGACTGTGCGCCACCACAAAACAGAATGTAAACAAAAATGACTGACAGCTGTATTTTCAAATTCTATTACTCTTGAGTTAAGATGTCATATTTTGGCCCCTCCACTTCCTGATTGGCACTTATTTGCGATTGGGTAGGCTTGATTCAACCTAATTTGTAAAGAAATGACCAGAAAATCTACAATTTGTATCATCGTAATGTTACGCAATGCAGCTTTAAAGGAACACCACGTGGCCTGGAAAAATAGAAACATCTGGGCCACCCCTGCAACTTGGACTAGTCACAACCACATCCCCATCCGGTCCTATTGCGATACCCCACGGTTTGATAACGTTCCCGATAGTGCGGACAAACTCTCCCGAGCGCCCGAACATGTCTACCCGGTTGTTTCTACTGTTAGCCACGATGATATGACCAGAGGCACCCATACAAATACCAATGGGGGAATTCAGTTGACCCATGTTTCTTCCAAAAGTTCCAAATTGAAATATCTTCTCCCCAGATGTATTGTACACCATGATGGTTTTAAATCCATCATTAAGTAGGATATTTCCCTCCCTGTCCGAAGTGACACCCATAGTAATTGGTGCTTTAGTGTTTATACTCCGATAGAGTATACTCCGATAGAGAGTCCCGTTTGGATGAAACAACCTTATTGTATCTCTGTCCATCACGATTACTTTATTGTTGCGCGTGTCCATGGCAATGACGGGATATTGATGCTGATTTCGGTCCAGGAAGCGTACGTCGAACTTCTTTATGGGTCGGCCGTTCCTACTGTACAGCACGACATACCCGTTAACTTGAACGGGTGTAGGAAACCCCCAGAACCCATAGATATTCAGGGTTCACGTCAGAAGCAACACTAGAAGAGTACATTGGCATTCTGCTAGACTCACCCGGCACGACGGTTGGAAAGAGGCGGAGAAAGGTCCCGTTTATGCTGAAGACTTGGACTCGGTTGTTGAAGTAATCAGTCACAAATATTTCATTGTCAGCAGACACGGCAACTCCGTAGTTATTCCTAAATTCCCCGGGTTTGTTTCCGCGCTTACATGTACCAATGGTGATCTCCAACTTTCTGCCAGCGATTTCCGCAATAAGTAATAAAAATCGTACCTTAAGTATTCACATTTCGAAACACTTCTTATCAACACAATATAGCCACATTTATCGAAAAGAGAATTGGTTCTTCCCTGTGTGAGTGGTTCAAACCTTACAGTCTGGTCACAGGGTTGACATCTCGAAAAGGTGATATAGTCAGATATTTTAAATTAAAACTTTTGATCCAACACAAAGACGCTCTCTCACCTAGAGCTTTCGACCAGTCGCTCCGGTCTTTCTCAGTAGACTGACCCAGTGAGGCTTGTCATGTGGCTTCTTTGAAGTGTGAGGTCAACAATGGGTCAAAGGTATCTGATGGTCTACTGATGAGGAAGACCAGAGTGACTGGTCAAAAACTCAAGGGGAGGGAACGTCTTTGTGTTGGATCAAAAGTTTTAACTTTAAACATGTAACTTTCAGCACAGGCAATCTGATAAATAGCAATAAGATAGTAATACCTTGTGAGATTTGGGTGCTTGCCGACAGTGTGGGTGCACCTGCAGTCATGGAAGTCTCAGCAAAAGTGCAGCATCCAGAGAAACCAGTTGCTGGGACATTCTCCACAGTCTGCTTTGACTGTAGATTGGAAAATGTCTTTGGTTATCAACTTGTTGATCGCATGAAATATTGACCTAAGAAAATGTTAGTTTTTGCCACTAATATAATCATTTTCTTTGCCGGTTTTTCTCAAGCACCAGGAACACATGGGTGGCAAGATGGTTTGGGTTGTTGACTCTAATCTAAAGGTTTTGGGTTCGAATCCTTATCATGACCTAGGTTGAATCTAAAGGTTCTAGGTTCGAATCCTTAGCATGCCCTTAAAGGGAAACTCACTCT